ACCTACATGTTTTGGACTTATTACTAAATCAAGCCAAGCCCAAACTATTTTAATAATTTATAATTGGGTTTTTAAAAAAATTGTTGAACTTAGCATAGGGAAGAGGCTGCGCGAACGCAAGCCTCCACTGCCACAAATTATGACGTAGGCTCTACCATTCAAGTAGACCTTAGGCATGCACCACTCCCGAGTGCAATGGAGATCACAGGCCTAGGACATGGGCCTTTTTGATCACCCATTAACCCCGTCCAGGTAAGTATGTTTCATCTGTTCTCATTCCCTTTCTTTTATGCTCTCTCTTCCACTCTCCCACTTCTCATCTACTCGATGTGGACTCGCACCACTTTGATATCACCCAGACTTCCCTTCCTTTCCTAGTTAATTATCCGCATCGATCATCTCTGGGCGTTTCTCATGCTTCCTTAGCGATACAATGACACTACCATATTCCAGTAGAAACTAAAAGCAACCCCGACTTTAAATAGAAATCGACGTATCATGATGATATGATACTCCAATCAATTTAAGGTAAAACAAAAGAAATTTGGAAATTTTATTGATTATGCCACGAAACTTTGTCAAAATACAGTGTCTATATGTACAGGATTCATTCTGACAAAAACGATATTTGCTGACAAAACTTGTTTTAGTGGGTCCAAGCTAAGCAGACATAATAGCTACAGCAGAAGAGTCAATTGCCAAGAGATTATAATAATATGGAGGGGAGATATAGGGAGAAAATAATACATGTAGCAAATTGGTTGAAATCAGAACCAGAGTCAATGACGATTGATGAGATAATATAATATATCCTTTTCACACGCATCTTTGTTATCTTACATTCTCATTTTCCCAGTAGACAACGAATGCAGGAAAGCCTGTTAACCCATACAAAACTGAAATATGAATGAGAGGAAAAGAAAATCAATGAACTTATTCATAATTATGATAGAAAATTACAATAAAAAAAAATCTTCAAAGGATTATTAATTACACAACTAATCCCAAAACTCTCCAGGGTAATCCATGAGGTCTGGATTCAACCTTCTACTGAATACCTAACTCTTAAACATTTATATAAGCTTAGGGTATAATCAATATAATAACTAACTTTTTGTTAGGTACTATATTCAATACTTCCACAAACCCATTACGGTAATAGTTCTTCATTCTATTGTCCCCCCCCCCCACACACACACACACAGAGATTATGGCTTAAAACCTGAGTTTGGACCGAGCACTCTTCAAAACAACTGCGTACGTAAAATGTTTAAGGCGTTGAAAGTTGAAACCATCAATAACATTATAGCAGTTTCACACAAAAAGATTGATGGCTTGATTTATTTACTATAGCAGTCCAAGTTGAAGAAAACACAAATGCCTACAAAACGGAATAAAAACACACACACACACACAAAACGGAATAAAACTACAAGCAGAAGCCTCCTTAGCCCTTCAAGCATCTTCCGAAAGCGGATAAAACAACACACACACACACACACACACACACACACAAACGCCTACATACATCAATACATATATCATTGCCATTGAAAAGGAAGCTTCCAAGATGGAAGACAATGGAGCCTAGTTTTGGAAGACAAGGAAGCTCTAATTTGGAAGATGTCAGAACGGAAGAGAAAGATAAGGCTTCTGTTTCTGGTCTTGGGAACCTTGTCCTTCTTCTTCTCTCTGTTTTACTTGTTCCTCTTTCTCACGACGTCGTTCTCTCTCCTCCTTCTGTCTCTCCTCACTCTCATGTCTTTCTTTTCTCTCCCTTTCTCTCTCCTTCTCAGGATCACGATGAAGCTGGTGGTGGCCTGCGACTCGGTTTCCTTGGTTAAAAGGATCGTTTTCTTCTTGTTCACGGCTTAATTTTGACACACACGACGTCGTATTTCGGATTCTCGTTTTCCCATAGCATGGCTGAGGCCGGCCATAACCAGGAAAACAGTACCTGCAAACAACAAATGACGAACCTTCGTGGCTTTCAAGGTAGCTGTCTGGTGGACAAACTCGTAATACTCCTCGTTAAAAATCTGACGAGGATGAAGACTCGGGTGTTAATCTGTACATATAGGAGATGGAAGGAGCTTTTTTTCTTTTTGAAAAAGAAAATTAAGTAAATTGGCACTGCGAACACGAGCAGGTCACGTCATTTCAAAAAACACTTATAAAATTACTTACAAAGTCCTTACATTTTTAGTGGGATTTAAAACCATGATCTTATTAATTGTGAATTAGATCTTTATTAACTGTAACGATTTGTATTGGTAGGAATTCGAGTACTTCTTAATTTTTGCTTTAACTATAGGCATGGGCTTGAGAATTTTGGGAGGCAGGTGGTGTCATGATGAAGGTGAGCATATGTGTAAGTTTTAATCATTTGCATGTCATGAGTAAAGGACACGTGGGCATGGGGTGGCGTGGAGGCTGATGAGTGTTTCAGCAAAATGGACAAGAACTCGAGAAGATTACCAAAGCATTGAATACTGAGGAATCAGTGTCATGTGTTCATTTGAGTGCGAGTACTCTGTCAGACTGTGGCGAAAAAAAAAATTATTTAAGAAATTGCTAATTAAAAATTTTCCATTTGGATGAAGCAAATTTAATTTGGAGTCCATATTACAATCATACCTCTCAAACCACAAGCCAAACATGGACAGTGTATCGTAACAGCCTAAGAATAATTGTTATTTTGAAATTGTACAAAAAATACTAACAAATAGTCTAAATTTTAATCAAAATTAATAATATTTTTAAAACAACCTTACTTAGTATAATGCCTTAACCTTAAATTAGAGTTCAAGTGAAATGTAAATATACCAAAAGCAGAGCAATGTCATCTCTCATGTATTAAGAAGGAAGTAATTTCATCTCTCTGTATAATTTTCATTAATTTAACTATTAATTGACCAAAAAAATATACAATTGTAAGCAAGTTAAAGTAAATCATGTTCAAAGAAAATAAGCCATAGAAAAAAAAAAGTAAACTATTTTATGCACCAATGCGTTTGCATGGTGAAAAAGTAGATTAGATCTCAATCCTTAAACTTTGCTCAAAAAAAGAAAAACAAAAATCTCAATCCTTTAACATCCAAGAAAAAGTATGATATTAAATATTGGTGTTTATATATAAGGATGACTCTATTAATGGTCGCTTTATTTCATGTTCAACATCATCTTTGTCTAACTATATATATCCTGCTGAAGCAAGAAATTTAAGATAAGGAAGAAAAAGGGGACCATGAATATGACAAATAAAGTAAAAAAATTCGAATAATTCATATGGTTTGCAGATCCAGGTTGCAGCTGTATTAGATTCTATGTTCAATCATAGTATTATAAATTATATGTTTTCTTGCACGAGCCAATGTTCGCCTCGCCATGAGCAGTAGAGTAGATATACTATATATATAAATAAATATATATATATATATATATATCCCTTAAAAGGGACAAATATATTTGTCGTTGTTCATACTTAGTCCTCGGTACTTGCAAATTACATAGTACATGTACGAGGCACACAAGATGCACACTCCATTCGCCACGTTTATACACATGTCATAATTGCTGCATTGAGTGATCAGAAACTGAGAATATATCAGCTGTGTAATTTGTATGTAAAGACAACACACACACATATATATAAATTAAGTATTAATTTAAGAGTTAATAATTAAAATTATAGTTAAACATAATTAAATTTGTTATAAAGCATTTTATTAAAGTGAGTGAGATACCAGTTTAATAGTTTACTAATTCAATGGACAATTAACCCAGATTTTTATATTATATATAATCATGAAAGAAACAATTGTATATGAAAAAACTTGATGCTTAGTGGCCATGTTCGCAAATCAAGGTAGTATAGTATATTGGAGGGTTTATGTGCAGTGCAGTGATATATATGCGCGCGCGCGCGGGGGGCTGAGCAAATTAAAGGAATGAGTAAGTTCTCAGAAATGAATGAACGACAAAGTACTTCGTCATTTATCCTTTTTGTCTGTGGTCCAACATTACCTTATTCAATAAGTCAGGTTTTGATTTTGCGTTGATTTTGGTTAGAACATTTAAGACGCGCATGGTTTTGAACATAGCTGTGACCTAACCAAAGCAAACGTAATGTTTTGACCAAAATTAACTCAAAACCAAACTCGCATGCTCTAAGACTATTAGAATTAATCCAATCCTATTTGTAAGTTAAATATGATTAAATTTAGAGAAGAGTATTGATTTCTTAAAAATTTCTATAAAATTTTCAAATTATCCTTAATTAAAATTACTAACATTATCCTTAAATCTTAAAATCAAACATGTCACGCCTAAATGAACCGCCGTTCTTTTTTTAGCAAATACAGAGAACAGAGCTCTAATACTCAATCTCAATCCAAGCCTGAAAAGAGGTAAAGCTCACTCCCAAGAATGGTGCATTCTTTATCTTATAGACCTTGTTAAGTAAGTGTGAGTTAATTTTACTTAATAAGGGAAAAAGTTAGCTGGATTGAAAAGGATATAAGTAAAAAAAATCCATAAATTCAATATTTAATTTGAATTAAAATAAGACATCATATAAACATTGAATGGCCTAGCCTAATTAAGATTTTTGAATGATCTCCTGGTTGAGAAGGAACCCACCTAGACCAAATGAAACCATCGATCAATATGTGGACGTTTTTAAAATTAACTAACTAATGATTCATTAAGTTTTATGAAGTGTCTTTAATTAAAGACGGGAAGGAATATTTGTTTGTTCAAGCCTAGCCCTGGATGTGAGAACTAACTCAGTGGAAACCATCAGGACGAAAAATAAACTTAGACTTATCAAGACAGAAATTAAAAGAAAGGGCAACAAAAGTAAATATTAGGGCTTGATTTATTTATTATAGTAATAGTAGAAAGCCAGAGCTCTGATTACATACAAAAGCCTCCTTCAAGCCCTTATATGCCCACACATATATATACATGCAAGCATTAGATTATTATTACATAGCCAATCAAAAGAAAGCATCTTCATCCAAAATGGAAGACAATGGAGCCCGCTCTTCGTCTCCTTCCTCATCACCTCGCTGCTGACGACGCTGCGCATTCACGAAGTATGATTTCTTCTGGTTTTTGATCAGTCTCTCCACTTCTTCGCCAGACCCTGGGAATGCCCTCTCCTTCACTACCCTTGGTATCTCATTAATCACGTTGTCTCTCTCACCTTCACCAAAACAATCAAAAAACCAAGTTAGCTTTATCTTGACTCATTAATATCAATGATCATCATATCAGATGAGTTTAGCTAAGTCTCACACACACACACAACACGTATAGATAGAAGATACCTCCAAGGAAGTTTCTCTGGTTGTTCTCAGCATTGAGCAGGAATGCGATCATCCTTACATCATTCCTCTTTGAAGCTCTGAGGGCAAGTGGATGACCTGCGAGGGCCACGTAAGCATCACCTTGATTCAGCCTAGAAGAAACCCTCTGAATGTGTCCTTCACTTTGACTTTGTTCTTCTTCCTCTTGCTGCTGTTGCTGCTGCCGCTGTTGCTGCTCTCTCTCTTGATCTTGATCTTGTTCTTGTTCTTGTTCTTCTGATCTTTGATTAGCCAGATGTGGGGATGCAATTTCGACTTTTGCCATTCCATCAATAATTTGAGCCAGCACTATGGCCCTTGAGTTGTAGTGTGGTAGAAAAACAGAGATCCCTAGAGACGACATTATTCAACACAAAATGAATTATATATATCATCATCGTAATTGTAATTTTGTAATAAAGCATGGTTAAATAAGTACCCTTTTGAGCTCTAGCCAACCGACAGAGATATCCAAGTCTCTGAGTTGGTGGAATTCCTCAGGACAAGCCTCCCACAAGTTACCATATTCGTTGGAATAACGAGCATGAAGGTTTTTCAAGTTCATGATTGGGTTTCTTTCTTCTTCTTGGGCTTGAAGATGATTCGGCATGCCTTCTTAGTTCTCTTGCGTGTTCTCTCGACAATCACAATCACTCCCTCATTTGAACTCTGTTCTTGTCCTTGCCCTCCTTGTTGTCGGTTTCCAAATAGGATCCTTCGAATCTCGTTGATGTTCTCCTGTTTCACAACACGTTACAACGTTAATTAATCAGAACACAAATTAAATGAATGCTTATAATAATGATGATATAAATTAGAAACACATAAAACTTTAAATGTATCTAATCAAAATGGTTTTAAAGAGCTATTCGATTTGGAACAAAAGAAAACTGTGAAAAAAATTAAAAAAAATAAAAAAAAATGAAGGATAAAGAAAAAA